CAGAGCACGGCGCTCCCGCGGCGCTTCGGCCGCGCGGTCGGCTGCCGAGGGAGGCGCGGCCAACGGCGGCCTCCCGGGGGGGGGGCGGGGGGGCCTCGCTCGGAAGCTGCTAAGGCGGTTTTACCGGAGGAGGCGGAGGAGGAGGAGGAGGAGGATCAGGAGGAGGAGGAGGATCAGGAGGAGGAGAAGGAGGAGGAGGGGGTGGAGGAGGAGGAGGAGGAGGAGGAGGAGGAGGAGGAGGAGGATCAGGAGGAGGAGGAGGAGGTGGAGAGAGGGATCAGGAGAGGGAGGAGGAGGACGAGGAGGAGGAGGAGGATCAGGAGACGGAGGAGGCGGAGGAGGGGGAGGGGGAGAGGAGGAGGAGGAGGAGGAGAGGAGGAGGAGGAGGAGGAGGAGAGGAGGAGGAGGAGGAGGAGGAGGAGGAGGAAGGAGGAGGAGGAGGGAGAGGAGGAGGAGGAGGAGGAGGAGGAGGAGGAGGCAAGACTCGGTCAAACGATACCGGGAACCTGTCGAACGCGCTGGGGCGGACCATCTGTGGTGCTTGTAAGGGAGGTCGTTTGTGCTGAGGCAACGGCCGGCCGCGCGCGGCGGCGGCCTGCCTCGCCCGCGGCGCCTGGGGGGGGGGGGCCTGGTTGCTAAAACGGTCTTCCCGGAAGAAGAAAAACACATTCCCGGAAAGCTCGGCGCCCGAAGTAGTATCGGGGAGACGTAAGACCCGGGTACGGGGGACTCGGAAATCCCCGACGAGGTCGTCAAAAAAATGACGAGGCCGAGCCTGCATTTTGACGAGGCCTCCCGCTGCAGACATCCCACGAAACTCCTCCTCGTCAAAATCCGAATCGCGGTCGTCAAAAAACGATGGCGAACCCGAGTCCCGGCAAACCCGGGTCTTACGCTCCCCCGATAGTAAACGGGCTGCTTCCCGGAAGAGGAGAAAAAAGAAATAAAAACAAAACAAAACAAAAACGATTTCCCGGAGTGCCGTTCTAGCAGCCACGGCTTTGCCGGCCTTCGCCTGGCCTCTGACTCGCGGCGCGCGAGGGCCGGGGGGGCGCGGCCGGGAGGTTCTCCGGGACGCGCTCTGCGAGTCGAGCGCCTCGGGGAAGGGGCCGCGGGAGCGGCTCGAACAGCAGTGGCCGGCAGTGGAAGCAAGGGCGCCCCACGTCGCGCGTCGCGCAGAGCGAAGCGCGGAGCGCGGAGCACTTCGCGCTCTCGCGCCGCCCCCTAAGGGGGGAGGAGGAGGGTGAGGCGTCGGAGCCGAACCGCGCAGCGCGAAGCGCGAACAACTTCGCGCCCTCGAGGGCGCCCTCGGGGAAGCGGAGATGGAACTTCAGCGGAGCAGCAGCACCAACGTACGCGCACGAGGGGGACGGGCGCCTGCATCGCCATGCGTCCTCTCGTCATCATGGCCCTCGTCGGTCGCGGCCGTGCCCGAGCCCCCGAGAAGAGGCACGGGATGTGCGCTGCCAGGGAGCGGAGCATCCAACTCCACGGTTGCTGGAGCGGTGCCCCGGATCCCTGGGGAGCGGTTGATTGATTGTGGTTACTTCGCCGAAGTGGCCCGGCAGAAGTACAGTACGATGTCTCGCCGCCAAGGCGAGACAGAAGGGGCGCGGTGACGCCGGCCCCTCAGCAACAAATAGCACGCGGCATCGCTGAAAAAACAGCAACGCCCATCTTTGCAGCTTGCTGTGTTGAAGCAACCTGGCTATAAATATGTTCCGTTGCGGGCCGGCTACTGCCGCAACAAAAGAATGACTCGTCAGAGGAACGCGTCAAAAAAACCTACAAACTGCCATCTATGGACCCTCTCCAAGCCCAAATGCGGCAGAGGCCATGTCTGAGGCACGGTGCACATGGAAGCTAGAGGCCTCCTAAATGGGGTCGGAGTAGATGGGGTCGAAGGATCGCGCTGCATCGGCGATGCATCGGCGATGCATTGGCGATGCACCGGCGACGTCGGTGATGCATCGGTGACGTCGGCGTGGAGAAAATGAGCTCCGCGTCGAGCCGCATCGCCGATGCATCGGCGATGTGGCGCGATCCTCCGACCCCATCTGCTCCGACCCTATCCATGAAATCGGAGATGAACTACAAAATTGGAATTCCGCAAAGCTGGTACTTCCATCGAACCTACTGAAAAAAAAACTAGAATGCTCGTACGTCTACGAACATACTACGTCGGTCCGGCGTAGACTCGACGGAAATTTCAAGCCTGGGCGGAATCGATTCCGTGGTCGATCCCCTTCCCAATCCAGGAGGCCCCGCGACACTGCCCCGCCCCGGGGCGGCGGGCAGACAGCAGCACATCCGCCACTCCTCGAGGGGCCCCGCGGCACGACGCCCGGCAGGCGAAGAGGCCGTGGACAGCGCTCGGCGCGCCCGCCTCGCCTCGCCCGCCGCCGCCGCCGGAGCCCAGCCCGCGGCCTCCGGCGGCGAGGGCCCGCAACGTCGCCCGCAGCTTGGGCGACGCCTAAAGGGGGGAGGGGGGGGGGGCGATGAATAGGGGGGAGAGGAAAGGAGGTGCCCTGTTCGGGCCCTGCAGGGCCCCCTTCTGGGCCCGAGAGGGGCCCATGTTGGGGTCCCTAAAGGGCCCCTTGCCTGCAACCCTCGCTGCCCCCCCCCCCAAACATCGCCTCCGCCCCCACTGCGCGCCCCGCATGCAGCCCCGTGAGGCCACCCGCCGGCGGGCGGCGGCGCCCCCCCGCGGAGGTCCCTCACGCGCCGCCGCCGCCGCCGCCGCCAGCATCCAGGCTGGCGACCTTCAGCTGCAGGGCCTGCAGCATCGCCCGCAGCTCCGCGAGCTCGCCCTCCCCGGACGGCGGCGCCTCGCGGAAGTCGATGAACGCCGACGTCAGGAGGTATAGCGCGGGCACGACGATAAGCATGAGCCGGGTCAGCCAGATGCCTGGGTAGTCCGCCACCGCGCGTGCAGCGTTGAATGCGTATCGGGGCATCAACTCTCTCTTGTCAGCGTCGCTTGCAGCGAGGCACCAGTGAGGGCCGCCGCGGGGCGCCAGGCCGAACGTGTGCATCTGTCTCATCAGGCCCCTGCTTGCTTCCCCGAAGCAAAGTGTCTGTGAGTGGTGCGTGCATACGCGTATGCAAGACATGTATAAACATATGTAGATATATAGACAGACAGACATGCATTGACATGGATGTGCACCTATAGAGTTATGTGTATACAAATACACATTAGAACCATCGCGCGCGCTTCGCGCGCGATCAAGTTCTAGCTAGGCTTGATAGGCTAACTCATGTAATATCAGTTTGGTCGCATCTTGCGTCAAGGGACTCCCTTGGAGGCTCTGAGCAAGCCTCGGAATCGTATAGAAGAGAAATACGGAAACGCAGAAGTTGTTCATTTCCTTTAGATATTCAACGAATTGGGGACCTCAAGAGCTTCCTGGGCTTTTTGGGGGGAGGTGAGGGGGGGGGTCTGAATTGTGGTCTGTTGTGCAAGAGTAGACTGGGGGCCAAAGTTGCAAAAAAAGTAGGAGTTCCGTTTTGTTCAGGTTCCTCGGCGCTGTTCGGCGCTGTTTTTTGTTTGTACCTCGCGGGTTTTGTTAGTCGAGCCCCTCAGGGATGTGGGATCCTCAGGACCCCCTGGGGGTTTTGGAGGCCTCCTGGAGGCCTGGAGAGCCGTCGGAAGGGTGTCTCGGGCTGCGCGGGAGCGTGTTGGGCCGTTCTTTACGTTCTGGGGGCTCCTTGGGGTCGTCTCGGGCTATCATTGGGCGTCTTGGGGCCTCCCCATTGGAAATCAACGATTTTACTCTCTTTGGGCTCTCTCAGGACGGCTCTCGCAGCTCTCTTGGGATATTGTTGGAGAATCGTCGGGGTCTTTTTGGGGCCTCGGGGTGTGTTGGGGGCCTCTGGGGGGTCCCAGAGGCATCTCGGAAGTCTATGGAAAGCCTCCTGCTCCCACTCTTGGACCCATCTTGGGCCTGTTCTGGGGTGGTCTGGGGCTGTCCTGGGCGCCTCTTCGGCAGTCTTGGAGCCTTCTTGGCCCGTCTTGGGGCCGTGCTGCGGGTCTCTTGGGTGGTCTGGGGGCGGTCTTGGGAGCCTCTTCGGCGCTCGGGCCCCTGGATGCCAAAAAAGGCCCCCGCGGCCCAGGGGGCAAATTCGATTACGGGGGGGGGAGTTTGGGAAAAGTGTGCGACCCTGGGCCGTGGGGCCCCAGACGCCGCATATATTGTACATATACACATACATACCCATTGAGATCTGGATAAATCTTCAGGGCACGAGTAAATTCCTCTGGACCAAGACTCGATGGCCCGTGGCTGAGGCTGACGGTCTCCCGTACGGTCTCACGCATAGCATCCCCTCTGATATCCCGCTCGGCCTCCCGTCTACTCTTCCCGGAAAGTCCCGTGTGCTCCCAGGTACGGTCTCCAGCACGGCCTCCCGCATGGCCTCCCGCATGCTCTACCCCGCATGGTCTCCTTGATGCTCTCCCGGATAGTCTCCCGTATGGCCTCCGACATGGTCTCCCACATGGTCTCCCGCAGGATCTCCCAGATGGTCTCCCGCATGATCTCGCGCCTCATGGTCTCCCGCTCGCGCTCCCGCATGGCCTCCCGTATGTAGGGGAACGAAGGACGACACCAAGATAAAAACTCAGAGGTCCGCGCGGATTTCTCAGATCTGCGCTGGGGCCCCCTGGCGGCGCCTCCAGCGCCGCACCTGGCGCGCTCCAGCGCGGATCCGAGTAATCCGCGCGGACCTCCGAGCTGATGTTTGTGTCATTGCGTCCCCCTACGTATGCCCTCCTGCATCCTCTCCCGAATGGTCCCCCGCATGAGGAGCACAGCATGAGGCTGTCAGCATGTTCTCCTGAATTATGCCGTTTACGCTCCTCTGTCGCCCAGGTGCTACTTTGTTGCCTCCAACACACACAATGACCAAAGCATCGAATGAGAAGGTCTGGGTAGAAGCCTCCGCTAGGCGCCCGCCCAGGCGTTCTGGCGGACTCGCAAAGCACAACTGGATAGATGTTATCCGCGGTGAACGCGCGCTCGCGCGCCGCCCGAAGGTGGACCAGGATGGTTATGAAGAAAGTCCTGGAGGCCTTGCGCGGCAACTTAAGATCCGATGTATGTCGGATCCACGTCGGATTTACATCTGGTTCACGACGGATTACGTCGGAGGTATGTCGGACTGACGCCGGAGCATCGCTGCGCAAGCGTCGACCCATCGCTTACGAAGCTAACGTGTGGACTCGATCATACTACTATTACGCGCCGCGCGAGGCCTCCAGGATATTCCTCATAAAGATGGGTGTCTCATCCACCAGACTCCCGTAGACTTCGCCAAACATCTCCGAATCCCACTGGTCGTTCAGGAAGCCAAGGTCACCCGAGATGTCGTCCAGATTGTACAAGAAGGTCAGCGCAAAGGCGTCGAAGAGAACCTCTTTAGGGCCCTGATCGGCGATAAGGAAGCACGGCCACATGGCCAACGCAGTCGTAACCAAGACCCAACAATTGACGAGCGCGCCGACAAAGAGCCAACCTTCGCAAGGTTCTGGAATCCGCGGGTCCCTCCTCGAGGCAGCACGGAAGACCTGGCACAAGTGAACTAGTCTCTTGTCGGTCTGCCGATCCTCTTCGAGGACGTACAGGCCATTTAGAATGAAAAGTACAATAAAGAGGGTGCCAATTAGCATCTGGCTCAGCTTCGTGACAGTGAAGGTAGACAAGAAATGCAAGTTGCCCTCACTACGCAGGAGGAAAAGTTCTGGCGACAGATCCATCATGGCCAAAGCCCGCGGGAAGGCGTACGCGAGCACACAAATTGGACCAACGATCTGGATAACGATGACCAGCGCCAGGCCGCTGAGCAGAAAGGGGTTTTCCTTCTCAGCGTCCTTGACCTGGAACAGCCCAGAGGTCTCCCCGAACACGCGCAGCGCCAGGTAACTATAAAGATTACCATCGATGGGCGCGTGGTCTGCATCCCCTGCTTCCGCTTGAATCTTCAGCACCCGCGAATCATAAAATCTCAGCATCTCAGCCTCCACAGCTGCTGGGTCCACGGCCTGCGCAACCGTCCGCACTGCGATGGGGAAATACTGCCCCTGCCGCACGAGAGGCATAACCGTAAGCCTTTGGAGGTCCACGCGGTTTCCTCGGATCGGCAATGGACCATCTTCCCTGGCGTTCGGAGCGCGCCTGGGGCGGCGCCGGAGGCGCCGCCAGGAAGTCCACCACCGAGAACTTCACGCGGACCTCTAAAAGTTCATGTCCGTGCAGGTAGTTACTCCTCCATGCGATTACTAATTCTTATTGATGATGCATGATAGTAATCGACAATCCTCTTACAAATTTCCTACAATCATGGTGTGTGATTGTTCTTGGCACTCTTCCAGTACGATTCAATACAAACACGAGTAGTAGTACTACTATTACTACCACCACCACCACCACCACTACTACTACTACTACTACTACTACTACTGCTACTGCTACTGCTGCTGCTGCTACTGCTACTGCTATTGCTACTGCTACTGCTACTCTACTACTACTACTACTACTACTACTACTACTACTACTACTACTACGACTACTACTACTACTACTACTACTACGACTACTACTACTTCTACTACTTCTACTACTACTACTACTACTACTACTACTACTACTACTACTACGACTACTAATAATACTACTACTACTACTACTACTACTACTACTACTACTACTACTACTAGTACTAGTAGTAACAAAAATAAGAATAGAAATAGCGGGAGAAGATATGCGAAAAAAGATAGTAGTAGTAGTAGTAGTAGTAGTAGTAGTAGTGGTAAAAACAGTAGTCGCAAAAGTAATGGTCGTAGGAATAGTAGTAGTATCGCTAATACGAATAATAAAAGTAAAAAGTCGCAGTCGTACTAGAAGTAGTAGTAGTAGTAGCAGAGGTGTTAGCAGTCGTAGTAGTCGTAGTAGTCGTAGTAGTAGTAGTAGTAGTAGTCGTAGTAGTAGTAGTAGTAGCAGTAGTAGTAGTAGTAGTAATAGTAGTAGTAATAGTAGTAGTAATAGTAGTACTAGTAAAAAAGTAGTAGTAGTAGAAAATAGTAGTAGAAGTAGTAGTAGCAGTAGTAGTAGTAGTACTAGTACTAGTACTAGTAGTAGTAGTAGTAGTAGTACTAGTACTAGTACTAGTACTAGTACTAGTAGTAGTAGTAGTAGTAGTAGTAGTAGTAGTAGTAGTCGCGGCAGCACTAATAGTCGTAGTAGTAAAAGTAGTAGTAGTCGTAGTACTAGTAGTAGTAGTGCTAGTCGTAGTAGTAGTAAGAATAGCAGCAGTAGTCGTAGTAGTAGTTGTATTAGTAGTAGCAGTAGTAGTAGTCGTAGTAGTAGTGGTAGTGGCAGTGGTAGTGGTAATAGTAGCAGTTGTAGTAGTAGTATGGGTGGTGGTAGTGGTAGTAGTACCAATGATAGTGTTAGTTGCAGTGGTAGTGGTAGTAGTCGTGGTAGTAGTAGTAGTAGTAGTAGTAGTAGTAGTAGTAGTAGTAGTAGTAGTAGTAGTAGTCGTAATAGTAGTAGTAGTAGTAGTAGTAGTAGTAGTAGTAGTAGTAGTAACAGTGATAGTCGAAGTAGCAGTAGTAGTAGTAGTAGTAGTAGTAGTAGTAGTAGTAGTAGTGATAGTAGAATAATAATAATAACACCAGTAATAGTAGTAGTACTAGTAGTAGTAGTAGTGGGAGTGGTGGTGGTAGCAGTACTAGTGGTAGTAATAGTGGTAGTGGTAGTGGTACTAGTCGTAGTACTAGTAGTAGTGGCAGTAGAAGTAGTAATAGTAGTAGCAGTAGTAGTAGTAGTGGTAGTAGCAGTAGTACTAGTAGTAGTAGTAGTAGTAGTAGTAGTAGTAGTAGTAGTAGTAGTAGACAGAGTAGTAGACATAGTAGTAGTAGTAGTAGTAAAACTAATAGTAGTAGACATCGTAGTAGTAGGAGTAGTAGTAGTAGGAGTAATAGTGGTAATAGCACTCGTAGTAGTAGTAGTAGTAGTAGTTGTAGTTGTAGTAGTAGTAGTAGTAGTAGTAGGAGTAGTAGTAGTAGTAGTGACAGTAGTAGTAGTAGTAGTAGTAGTAGTAGTCGAAATAGTAGTAGTAGTAGTAGTTGTTGTTGTTGCTGTTGTTGTTAGTGGTGCTAGGAGTCGTCGTGCGTTCCTTCTTGTTTGTATGTTTCTTCTCCTTCGGACCTCGCCCCCGTACACGGGCGTGCCGCCCAACAGCACGCGGCCCGGATGCATCATGCCATGCACCGCCTCCTCCTCGGCGCAGAGCCTCGCCGCCGCGACCTCGGCGTCGAGCGAACGCCCGCCGCCCGCAGCGCCCCGCGAGCCGCGCCCGCGGGGCCCACGGCGGGCACCGCCTGCCGCCGCCGGCTGCGCCAGGGCGCGCCGCAGAAGCGGCAGCGGCATGCGCGCGGGCCGCTTCTGTCCTCGATCCTCCCCGAAGATAGGGGCACGGGCGTCCACGGCGGCGGCAGAACCGAAATCGCACCCAGAGCCGACCGAAGAGCACGGGCCGAAAGCAGCCGAGGAGGACGCAACGACACGACGACCGACCAACCGAACCGCGGACGCCCTCTCGAATCCCTACTTCGAGAACGGCGCCTAGGCGCCGTACCACGTCTGGACCCCCTTCAGGCCCCGCTCCATCGCGGTACGGTGCACACTTGCTCGGATCTGAGGGTCGAAACCTCCCGCACTGTATCACCACTGGAATCGGTGATTGGCGACGCCTCGGGAGGCGCCAACGCGCTACTGTGCACTTGTTTCCTGTCGCGGCACGACAAAGACGATCCGCTCGCGCGTCCGAGCAATCTGGGCTACGGCATTGCGAGTTGTCCCGCATGCAGGAGGAAGAGGAAAAGAAGAGAGCCGGCCGCAGAGACAGGAGGAGGAAGGTGCACACACGCGGCGAGGCCGCTGGGGGCGCGCGGGGCGGCCAGGCCGCAGGGCAACCCCTGGCAGCGCACGTGGCGCAGCGTCGCGAGCGCACCCAGGGGAGGAGCCGCAGAGCGGCGCGTGGCAACGCGCAAAGGCCAGGGGGCGGCGGAGAGGGGGGCGAAGAGGCAGCAAGCCGAACCCAGGGCCGGCGCATCACAGCCGAGGACCCAGGCGGCGCCCGGAGGAAGCGGGCACAGGGCGCAGGCCCCCGGCGAGGCAGGGAGGCGAACAGAAGGGCGGAGAGAGTGTGCCACGACGGCGGTGCCTCCCAAAGAGTTGGGGCAGCGCGAGGTGCCATGCGGGGCCCATGGCCGGCGAGGCGGCGAACGCGCCAAGCCTGCACGGGCCGGGGGGCCCGGGGCGGAGCGCGCGCGCGCCTCGCGGCGCCCCAGCGGCGGGCGGCGCGGGGGCGCCGCAGCCGCGAGGGCAGGCGCGCCGCACGCAGAGGCCAGCACCCCGCAGCCACGGCGTGAGAGTAGGTGGCCGCGAGCTGGGAGGGGCCCCTGCGAGGCAACGATAGGGGGGGGGACAGGCTTGGGGGGGGGGGCTGCATCGACCCGGGACCCGGGATCGGCGACGCGTCGTCGATGGATCGGCGACAGGAACCAGACCGTGACTCCGCACCCTCCCCGGGCGAGGCGGGGCTCCCGGGCGCCCCTCTCGGCGAGCAACGGGCGCTCCAGGGGGCCGGTGCGTCCCCCCCTTGTGCCTGCCCCCCCCTTTACCAGCCTCGAACATATCCATGTCCCTAAGATTGGCACGCCAAAAGGCGATGACCATCTTAGGGATGCGCGCCCCCAAAACATAGGGGAAGCCCTAAGATTGGCATCGTGATGCGGAGGTGCCCAGCATAGGGATGGGGATATGTTCCAAGCTGGTACCCCCCCCCCCTTGTCGCTGCCCCCGAGCCTCGGGCAGCGCGAGGCGCAGACGCCACGGGCGGGCGGCCGCGCCCGCGAGGAGGCGGGGCGCGCCGCCCGGGGCGGCCAGGCGCGCGGAGCGGGCGCCGGCGGGTGCGCGGGGCAGGCGCGCTCGCCGCCGGGGGGGCGGGCGGGCGGGGGCGCCTCGCCCGGGGCAGGCGACGCGCCCTCGCCATCGCTTGGACGTCCATTCCCTGTGTTTTTTTTCCGGTTTCGTGCGTGGTCTTTTCGCCAAGTGATCAAGGATGCTCCTCGATTGTCCTCGCCGAAGGAAAAATGCACACGTCCGAGCGATGCCAAGCGCCAGGGCCAGGTGGGGCGCCTGGGGTGGACGACGCGCCCGTGGGGACGCACCTCCACGCCGGTCGGACGAAGCAGGCAAAGACATGAAGTATAGGACAGCGTTGGGCAGCAGATGGGGCTCCCGCCCGCCCCCCGAGGACGGAGGAGGGGGCCACGCGCGAACCCTGCCCCTACCCCCCACGAGTTCTGGGGGGGAGGGTGGGGTTCACTTCGTTCGGGGGCTCTCGAGCGAAGTGAACCCCACCCTCCCTCTCAGAAATCGTGGGGGGTAGGGCTAGGGTTCTCGCATGTGGCCCCCTAACGGAGGAGGAAGGAGAGCCGCTCGAGCCTGGAAGCAGGGAGGCGCCGGAAGCAGCCTCTGGGTCTGGGAGGCCCAGGAGACACCTGCCTTCCACGACCGGCGTGCCACGGGTGCACGGGCAGGTGGAGGGAAGCGGGGGCACGCCCAGCGGCCGGCGCGCACCACCCGCCTTGCACGGCGCGCCCGGGGGGCCGAAAGCCGGAGCAGCGCCTGGCGTGGGAGGCGCGCCGCGCGGAGGGGCACATCTCAGGCGCACGGGCAGGTGGACAAGGACGCGGGGCACCTCCTGGGACGGCAGGCACCTCGCGAGGCGCACGGCCCGGGGGGGTGGGAGGCGCGCCAGGGCCACATGCAGCGCAAGTGGCAGTCGTCCACGGAACTACCCCTGCTGGGAGGGGCGAAAGGGGGGGCAGCACAGGAGGGGCTCGCGAATCAGCTCCTGTGGCTGGCTTCTTCGGCGTCTCCCGGCGCTGGCGGGCGCTCGTGTATAGGGGACAGCTCCCGACCGCGGGGCCGAAGCCAGCTGGACGCCGCAAATGTCGCAGCCCTTCCGTTCCAAATCCCCCATGTCGGCCGACCGGAGTGATCATCGACGTCTGGCTGTCCGGTCATACCTCAGAATCTCTGGTGGCCGCTTGGGACGGCTCGTCGGAAACGCCCCGCAACGCTCTCGGCGAGGCGCAGCTTCTAGAAAGTATCGCAAAGCTGGCAAACTGCAACCCCTCACCTAAGAGGCCTCCCAAATGATGGGGTCCGAGTAGATGGAGTCGGTGGATCGCGCCGAATCGTCGATTCATCGCCGATGCATCGGCGATGCATCGACGATGCGTCGGCGACGTCGGCGATGCATCAGCGACACTGGAATCGGGCTCCACCATCGAGCCGCATCGGCGATGCCTCGGCGATGCGGCGCGATCCTTCGACCCTGCCTGCAGTGGAGGTTGATTTGGAGAGAACACGCGAGAGGACACAAGACCCTTCCGAGGGCCACACTGCCGTAGGAACTCAGAAGGCATGAGCCTGGGCCGCAAAGCATAGGACACAAGGGTACCCTTGATTTGGCAAGCCCGACCTCCAAATCAGCCCTACCTTACCTGTACTCGGAAGGCACCGATACCGCTGCTCCCCCGACCTCTCCCAGGGTGCTGACTGACCAGAATTGCCAGGCGAATCCAGCGGTGGCGACGAGGGCCTCCCAGGAGGCCCAAGAAGGAAAAACGGGGAAGGGCACTCCCCATTCCGTAATAAAAGTGGGGGAGGTCTATTTTGGGGGGGTCCGACTTGAGCTGCCTTGGAGGGTCCGAGGGGGGGGGTCTGGGCCAAAAGGCCGCCCTTTCTCGGCTGGCTTTGGGGAGGGTCTGAAACGGCCCGTCTGGCCGGAATCAGACCCCTGTATTACGGCATCGAGAGTAGCGATATGGGTACCTTTTCCTCCTCTGAGGTTACTCTAGAACAAAACAAAACAAAACAAAAAAAAAACGCCTGAAACATAAACTTTTGGCGCTCCGCGCGGACTTGGGTCTGCGCTCGACCCCCCTCCCTGGCGCGCGGAGCGCGCCAGGGGCGACGCCAGGCGCCGCCAGGGGACCCCCAACAGTGTATGTTTATAGCGTTTTTCCTCCTTCCATACTCGGACCCATGTGGGAGGCCTCAAATAAATACACACATGTCCCAGGATGTCCCATCTTTATCCACATTTTGGCAGGGTTTTTCGTCTTCCCCCCCACTTCCCACGATTATTTGCGTCTGTGCTGTGTGTTTTGTCCCTCCTGCTGGATCCCCGCCTGGAGAAGCTCGTGGCTCACGGCCTCCGCCGCGCTGAAGCGGCTGGCCGGGTTCACCTCCTGCGGGGGATGGGGCCGGGGCGGGACTCGCGCTCTGGGTGACCGGGCGTCTGCCGTGGGGGAGCACAGCTGATGGACAGGTGTTCCAGCACGGCTGCCATGGGTAGGGACGGGGGAGCAGGGAGAATGGGGAGGTTCTCCTCCTCCTCCTCCTCCTCCTCCTCCTCCTCCTCCTCCTCCTCCTCCTCCTCCTCCTCCTCCTCCTCCTCCTCCTCCCAGTCCTGCCTGTGATAGTGGTGGTGGAAAATCGGCCCATCAACAGTTGGAAGTACGAAAGGGTGGGATAGGAAAGGGCAGTGTAGAGAATCAGCTCACGCAGCTGGTCGTGCTGACGCCTCCTGGCGCCAGGAGGGGCCCATGCCCGGGATCAGCTTCTCGTCCTGAGCCGCTTGCTGAAGGCCCCGGGGCCCGGGGAGGGCCCTGGGAGCCCCAGAAACGGCAACAGAACCTTTAAGACACCTCTGCTCCAGGATCCCCGTCTTTCATGGCCCAAGATCCAGACATCCACCGTCGCGATTTAATCATCGTCATCGTCATCGTCATCGTTGCCCCCAGGGATAAGAGATAAAAAAAAAAAAAAAAAAAAAAAAAAAAAAAAAAAAAAAAAAAAAAAAAAAAAAAAAAACAACAAACAACAACAACAACAAACAACAACAACAACAACAACAACAACACCAACAACAACAACAACAACAAAATAACAACAACACAACAACAACAGCACAGCAGCACAGCAGCAGCAGCAGCAGCAGCAGCAAGCAGCAGCAGCAGCAGCAGCAACAGCAGCAACAACAACAACAACAACAGCAGCAGCAGCAGCAGCAGCAGCAGCAGCAGCAGCAGCAGCAGCACACAACAACAACACAACAAACAACAACAACAAACAACACCAAAAAACAACAAAAAAAAAAAAAAAAAAAAAAAAAAAAAAAAAAACGCAGTGTATCCACAACGCGCTGAGGTCTGGTGCAGGTGGGAGGAGAGAGCGCAAGCTCGGGCGTGGACGACTGACCCGGCTCAGCGCACGCCCGGCTCAGCCCCTTTGGGAGAACTGCGCTGCAGCTTCTTCTTGGGCGCCCTAAGCCAGGCACAGCCAACATGCAAAATTGGAGGTCTCTGGGGGGGGGAGGGGGGCAGCGCTGTTTCCAGGGCGAGATCTCAGTACGCTCGGCCGGCCAGCGCGCTGGATCCGTCAGTAGCAATCCTGACGATTCCCGTTCGCAAGATCGAATCTTAAGTTCATTATTACCGACGATTGGGCTGCTTAGGTTTCGGTCGGGCATGTCCCCCTACAGACGGATTTAGGACGAAAAACAAAAAAAAATGCTCAAACGTATTCAAATATGATCAAAAAATTGTCCCCAGGCTATGTTTTGACTATTTGATTGAACGTTCCTCCTGTAGGGGGACAGGCCCGATTTAAGCTTAGGTATGCTCTTACCCTACGAGCATTACTCGCCTCCTCCGTCGCCCCAAAAACATGGGATCGCGCTCGCTGCCCCTCCGCGAGCCTCAGATGCAGAGCCACCCCACCGGCCACGAGCGGCTCCCGAACTCGGGGGCGCGCAAACATGGATTAGCGATCCATGGATCTGGCGCGCGGCCGCCAAATCCATGGATCGGGAGAGGTGCCCTCCCCAAAGTGCGGCCGGTGCCGCCTCGTTCGGCGGCGGAACTCCGCGATTTCCCGTGGGAGCGGGGCCCGTCGCTCATCCACGCCACCTGTGATCCATGTCCGCGATCGCCTGACATACCTGGCACGGCCAAAATCCAGCGTTGTGGGATCCTTGCGAAATCCAGACTTTGGACGCCCGAAATGGGCACGGAAAGAATGGGCACAATGCCCAACAACAAATGCTGTCCCAAACCAGCAGCGGCCGCTGTTGGGCGGGCGGCCTCCTGTCTCAAATGGGCCCAGGCCACGGCGGCGCGGACAGCGAGTCCTGTTCAGAGTGGACAAGAACTGCTGTTGGGCATCGTACTCCAGATTTCGTAATAAAGGGAGGGGGGTCTCATTTCGGGGGGGGTCTCTTCCAGGCTATCTTGGAGGGCCTGGGGGGGTCTGGTGACGATGTTTTGGAGGGTTCTCCCACGGGGGGGGTCTGAAATGGCTTGTCTTGGAGGGTCCAGACCCCCTCCCTTTTATTACGAAATCTGGAGTACCCATTCTTTCCGTGCCCATTTCGAGCGTCCAGACCGACGCTCTCAGTGAGCCCCGCCTGCACTCCACTCAAAACCCCGTGACGGGCCCGCCAGCGGCGGTCCATGAGCCGGTCCAGCAGCGCGCCCAGGAGCTTCACCTTCTTGTCCGTCTCGGACTGCGCCGAGCTCTTCTTCGTGGCCGCGGCCACCACGCAGGTCCTGCCGGCGATGATGGTGGGGGCGAGGGCGAGGGCGAGGGCGAGAAGAGTGAGAGAGGGAAGCGCGATGGCAGCAATGATCAGGAGAAGAGAGTTCGCCCGCCCCTCCCTCTTCCTCCTCATCTCTTATCCGCTCCCTCCCTTGATATCATCTTCCTCCCCCATTCTCCCCCTCCTGATCGCCATCAGAAGCCGAACTGGGGGAAAATGAAAACACCGCCTTATCGCTACTCCCCAGACCTCTCCTATGGGGGAGATCCGGCCAGGACTCTGAGGCGAATCCGGCTGCGGCGACGAGGTACGCCCCCCGAGGAGGCCTAGACAGGCGAAGGCAAGGGCAGGGAATCGGCATCCTGACGGAAGGGTTCGAAAGGTTCGGTGGGTTCACATGTGAGCGTTTTTGTTATTCGGCGTTTCGACATTGGGCGGAAAGGGGGGGGAGGGAGGGCTGGATCCAGACCTCTGCTCAGTGCGAGTGTTTGCAAGAGTGCTGCCTCTGGGGAGGATTCCACCCGATCGAAACAGGCGCCAAAAAAACGGCCAAGACTACTCCATGGGGGGGGAGGGGGGGTTGGAGGGCCCGCGCCGATCCGCAAAACAATAAATAAAAACGATCACCCATCGCGATGACGTCGGCGTTCGTTTCGGACACTTGCGCGGACAATTCAACCTTGCACGACCGCGGCTTCTCGATGGCGCAGACCGCTCGATGTCGGTCGGCTCGGCTCCGCGCAGGTGGCGGCGCTCAAGCTTGAACTCCCGCGCCGGCGTCGCTGCCGCGTCGACACGACACGAACCTGCCGTACCCGCCGGCTGCTCCTTATCATCCTCCTCGACGTCATCGTCAGTGTCATTGTCATCATCGTCGACGCCGCCGTCGCCACTGGTATCATCAACATCGAGTAAAATATCAACATCATCATCAGCATCAAGGTCATCTCCATCGCTATCGTAATAATCACCACCGCTAACCTGTGCATCAAAACCAACGTCAACAGAATCGCCATGACCAACGTGATCAACATGAACTCCTCATGTTAACTAGATTCCACGAAGGCTCGAAGAGGCCCAAATCGCTGATTCGCCGTTGGTGTTTGAAGGTGTTCTTGGTTTTCGCGTTTCTGGCCTCCCAACACTTCAAGGGGGCCGAGGCTCCCAAGATCGTCCCAACACAGCCCGAAAGGCCCCCAAGAGGCCCTCCCAAATGGCCCAAGAGGGCCCCCAGACTGGGCCAAAAGGCGCCCAAGACGGGCCAAGAGGGCTCCAAGACGGCGCCAAGAGAGGCCCAGGAGAACCACGACCAGAAACTCCGAGCCTTCCGCCCCAAGAGGGCCCGAGGAGGCCCCAAGAGGCCCCTAAGATGCCCAAGGAGGCCCCGAAGGCGCCCCAGAGGCCCCAAAACTCCCAAGCGGCCCCAAGAGGCCCCCAAGAAGCCCCCCAGATGCCTCAAAACTGCCTCTGAGAGGCCCCCGAGATGCCTCGCACGAGATCTCAACGAACGTCCATGAAGCCTCAGACACACAACCCAGGCACGGTGGCGGGATAGGCCGAAGACCATTCGATCCGCCGCCCCCTGTTGGCTTGCAACAGGGCTGCCTGGCGTGCTGGACCCTTCCGTTTTTGGTTTGGGTTCTCTTTCAAAAAAGAACTCTCCCCTGGGGCTCCAGCCCAGTCGGCCGGCCACCCGGGAGGGACCAGAAGGCGCCCAATTTGCCGAAGTGTTTCCCAAGACGGCTCAAGATGACTTTCAAGACCGACAAGATGGCCCAAGATGGCCTCCAAGATACCTTCAAGATGACCAAGATGGCCTCCAAGGCGGCTAAGATGGCCCCAAGATGCCTCCAAGACGGCCCAAGATGCAGCCAAGACGGCCTAAGATAGCCGCAAGATGGCCCAAGACGGCCCAAGAGGCCTCCAACAGGCCTCCAAAGCGGCCAAAGAGGCCTCCAAGAGCCCTTTGGTTTTTGAAGGATTCTCAAATCCCACCAGCCCTCTGGGCGTCGGTGGTTTAGGGAGTTTCCTCTTCCACCCCTCCTTCTTCCCCTTCGAGGGGTTTACCCCTCCCCCTACCCCCTCCCCATGGACCTGGACAAAGGGTTTCGCAAGGTGTCGGAGCGTCCAAAACGGCCTCGGCGAGGAAGCCAAAATCATTGGTTTTAGTAGGATTGTGGCCCCATTTTGGCATCCTGAGGGGGGGGCCCTAATTAGCCCCCCCCCCTCCTGTGATCGATCTCACCCAAGGTGACCCATAAATGGCCCCCAAGGCTCCCAAGGGTGCCCCAAGAGGGCCCCAAGAGGTGGCCATGAAGCCACAAGAGGCCCCAGGATGCGCCTAAGAGGCTCCCAAGAGACCCCCAAGAGGCCCAAAGAGACCCCCCAGAGGCACCCAAGATGCGCCAAGAGGCCTCAGCGAGAATGCCAAATCATTGATTTTACCATGGTGTTAGCCACATGTTGGCCTCTGGGGGGGGGGGCACTGATTAAGATGACTCCAAGAGCGCCTGCGAGAGCCCAAGATGACCTCCAAGATGGCTCAAGATATCCCAAGATGTCTCATAATGCCTCCCACGATGCTCCAAGATGCCCCAAGACCGCTCCAAGTCGGCTCCCAGTGGCCAAAGAGCTCCCCCAGGAGGCCCCGAAGAGGCCAAAACCTTAGGAAAGTCTGTGTGTTTGGCTTTCTCGCCTTTTCGCTTCCGATGGCCATCCAAGGCCTCAAGATGGCTCCAAGATGGCCCAAGAGGGCTCCAAGAGAGGCTCCAGAGAGCCCCAAGACGGCCCCAAGAGCGCCTAAGAGCGCTCCAAGAGCGCCCCAAGAACGCCCCAAGAGGCGATTGTTTGGGCTCCCGAGGGGCAACGCTAACTAATGCTCGCTTCGTGTTTGATCGATGTCCCCCAAGATGTCCCCAAGAGCGATCCCAAGGCTCCCAAGAGCGCTTCAAGAGGGCCCTCAGAGGCGCCCAGCAGGCCCCAACAGGCGCCCAAGAGGCGCCCAAGAGGCCTCCAAGATGCTCCCAAGAGACCCCCAAGAGGCCCCAAGAAACTCTCCGAGGCACCCAAGACGCTCCAAGAGGCCTCCACTGGGAGACCCTTCCTCTGTGTGCTGCCCACTGATCGAGGCAATTCCTCTGGGCATCGTTTCTGGATGGGCTGGTGGGGTTACGCGAAGCGTCTTGAAGTTGCTTCTTCTCAGCTTTCCGATGGCCAGAGACGGCCCAAGAGCCCCCAAAGATCGCCCCAGGATCGCCCCAAATGCCTCCAAGATTGCCCCAGAACGGCCCAAGAGGCCCCCAAGACTGGCCACCAGTCGGCCCAGAGAGGACCCCAAGACAGCTTCCGACGGCATCAGACGGGCCAGGAGCCCACCAAGACGGCCCAAGATGGCTCTAAAATTGCCTAAGACGGCCCAAGAGGCCCCCAAGAGGTCTCCAAGACGGCCCAAGAGGCCTCCAAGAGGGCCTCCAGAAAGCCCGACGAGACCAAAATCAGTGATTGTCCTTAGGTTTGTGACGGATTTGGGCACTTGCTTGTTTTTCCCCCAAGACGTCCCAAGAGCCCCCTAAAATCGCCCCAAGACCGCCCCAGAGGCCTTCAAGATAACCCCAGAACGGCCTGAGAGGCCCCCAAGACCGCCCCGAGAGGGCCCCCAGCCCCAGACGGCCCAAGAGGCCTCCAAGACGCCAAAGATGGCATCCAAGACGGCCCTGGAGCACCCCAAGAGGGCCCCCGGTCGGCCCAGAGAGGACCCCGATGACAGCTTCCGACGGCGTCAGACGGGCCAGGAGCCCACCAAGACGGCCCAAGATGGCTCTTTGATGGCCTAAGACGGCCCAAGAGGCCCCCAAGAGACAGGCCAGGAGGCCTCCAAGAGGGCCTCCAAGAAGGCCCGAAAAGACCAAAATCAGTGATTGTCCTTAGGTACGGATTTTGTCATTTGCGCCTTTTCGGCATCCAAACGCCCCAAGACGGCCCAAGGGACCCGAAAGATCGCCCAAGAGGCCGCCAGGATGGCTCCCAGGAGGCCCCAAGAGTGCCCCCAGAGGCTCCCAAGATGCCCCCTCTTCCTCCTCCTCCTCCTCCTCCTCCTCCTCCTCCTCCTCCTCCTCCTCCTCCTCCTCCTCCTCCTTCCTCCTTCTCCGCCTTCTCCGCCTTCTCCTCGTCCTCCTCCTCCTCCTGATCTTCCCCGCCATCCTCCCCCAAGTGTTCCCCGAAGGGTTTCACAACGGTTGGGGGAACACATGGTCCGATAGCTTGGCAGAGTTCTTACCACAACGCTCGGCCACATGGGCGATTTCAAAAGGCAGAGGGGCGGCAGTGATTCGCTGTAGGCGTCTTCAAAACGTATGTCTAGCCGTCCCTCCTCTGCGCTGCTCCTTTTCCTCTTAGATTGAATCAAATAATTTCTCTCCCCCCGCTTACCCATACGAGGACGCGTCCAGTGCCATCGCCGCCGTCGTCGCGTGGCCCGACGCAATGCCCTTGGGATCGAGACGCTGTCCGACTGCACCGCACGCGGGAAGGAAGAGGAGAGAGCAAAAGAGGAGGAGGGGGGGAGCATGTATGAGAGAGGGAAGCGGAACGGGTGGGAGAAGGATGTCGCACCTGATCGAAGAGAAGAGGGGGCAAGGAGGGAGGGAGGAGGAGCAAAGGGAGGCAGAGAGGAGGAGGAAACGGAGAGAGCGGGAGCAAGGAGGGGGACTGAGGTTGGCTTTGGGGGCGTCTTGGGGCGCGCTGGGCCCCCGACCTTGGGCGGCGCCCTGCGGGCCCGTGTGGGCTCCCACGGGGGGGGAGCGAGGCCCCCCCCCGCGCGGGCTGTTGCGCACTGTGTTGGGAGGGGCGGTGGCGGAGGAACCGACGAGCAGCCGGCAGAGGTCCGCCTAAGAGAGAGACCCTGAAGAAACGAAGACCCTAGCCCCTGACGTAGCACCTCCTCCTCCTCCTCCCCCTCCTCCTCCTCCTCCTCCTCCTCCTCCTCCTCCTCCTCCTCCTCCTCTCCTCCTCCTCCTCCTCTCCTCCTCCTCCTCCTCCTCCTCCTCCTCCTCCTCCGCCTCCTCCTCCCTCCTCCTCCTCCCTCCTCCTCCTCCTCCTCCTCCTCCTCCTCCTCCTCCTCCTCCTCCTCCACCTCCTACTCGTTCTCCTCCTCCTCCTCCTCCTCCACCTCCTCCTCGTTATCCTCCTCCTCCTCCTCCTCCTCCTCCTCCTCCTCCTCCTCCTCCTCCTCCTCCTCCTCCTCCTCCTCCTCCTCCTCCTCCTCCTCCTCCTCCTCCTCCTCCTCCTCCGCCTCCTCCTCCTCCTCCTCCTCCTCCTCCTCCTCCTCCTCCTCCTCCTCCTCCTCCTCCTCCCCTCCTCCTCCTCCTCCCTCCTCTCTCCTCCTCCTCCTCCTCCTCCTCCTCCTCCTCCCTCCTCCTCCTCCTCCTCCTCCTCCTCCTCCTCCTCTCCTCCTCCTCTCCTCCTCCTCCTCCTCCTCCTCCTCCTCCTCCTTCCTCCCCTCCTCCTCCCCCTCCTCCCCCCCTCCTGCCTCCTCCTCCGCCTCCTCCTCCTCTCCTCCTCCTCCTCCCTCCTCCTCCTCCTCCCTCCTCCTCCTCCTCCTCCTCCTCCTCCTCCTCCTCCTCCTCCTCCTCCTCCTCCTCCTCCTCCTCCTCCTCCTCCTCCTCCTCCTCCTCCTCCTCCTCCTCCTCCTCCTCCTCCTCCCTCCTCCTCCTCCTCCTCCTCCTCCTCCTCCTCCTCCTCCTCCTCCTCCTCCTCCTCCTCCCCTCCTCCTCCCCTCCTCCTCCTCCTCCTCCTCCTCCTCCTCCTCCTCCTCCTCCTCCTCCTCCTCCTCCTCCTCCTCCTCCTCACTCCTCCTCCTCCCCCTCCCCCTCCCCTCTATCCTCCCCCCTCTCTCCCTCCTCCTCGGGCCCCCCTTCGATCAACAGGAAAAAAGCGCAAAACGTTTTCTTGAATCCGCGCGGATTTCTCGGATCGGCGCTGGAGCCCCCTGGCGGTGCCTTCAGCGCCGCCCCGAGCGCCGCCCCCGGCGCCGCCCACGGCGCGCTCCGCGCCCCAGGGAGGGGGGGTCCAGCGCCGGCCCACCTCCGAAAGGTCCTGCTCATGTCACTCTTTGTCGGCGGGGGACAAACCTCCCTTCAGTAAACCTCCCTGTAACGAAAACGGCCTAGGACCGAAACCGACGGACCTGGACCCGCAAAAACGACGGCCGCGACGCCCTCTCGCGAACCGAAAACGGCCGAGTCGCCACTCGACGTGTCAGGGTAGGATTATGTCGGGCGTGTCCCCCTAAAGGGGGATCTTCGACGGAAAAAAATACCAGACAAGTACCCCAAAAAGGTCAAAAACTACTCAAAAAATTCGCCGGCCCAACGGGCCAGGGCGTGCTAAGATCTCCGGTACCTGGTTAACAGTATTTCTAGTTCGCGCGCGCGGGGCGGCCCCTGGGGGTCCCCGGACGAGAAGTACCCCGGCAAGGTCCCGGCAAGTCCCCGGTAAGGTCGGGCCAGAGATGCCGGAGCCCTGTTACAGGGCCCCAGGACGGGCCAAGAGGCCCCCAAGAAGCCTCCAAGACGGTCCAAGAGGGCCCCGAGACGGCCAAAGATCGCCCGAAGACGCCCAACAGGGCCCCAAGACAGCCCAAGAGGCCTCCAAGACGCCCCAAGGGCCTTCCAAGAGGCCTCCGAAGAGGGCCCCAAGAGGCCAAAATCGTTGATTTTCATTGTTTTTTTCTATGTTTTTTGCGTTCTGGCTTTTTCGGCTTCCGGACGCTCCAAGACGGCCCAAGAGGCCCCCAAGACCGCTCCAAGACGGCCCACGAGGCTCCCAAGACGGCCCCGGAACGGCCCAGGAGGGCCCCCAAGACGGCCCAAGTGCCGCCCAAGACGGACCAAGAGGCCCCAAGACGGGCCCAAGAGGGGCTCAAGAGGGGAACCGAGAACTGAAAAATCGAGCCCTCCGCCCCAGAAGGCGCCCAGGAGGCCCCAAAAAGGCCCCAAGAGGCCCCCAAGAGGCCCCCAAGACGCCCCAAGAGGCGCCCAAGAGGCCCAAAAGAGGCCCCAAGAGGCCCAAAACGGCCCCCAAGAGGCCCCAAAACTCGGCTAGCCCACAACGGTGCGACAATATGGGCCGGCGGAATGAGCGAAGCGATGAAATAATCCCCTGACTATTTTTGGACTATTTCTTGACTATTTTGGTGGCATTTATTTTTATTGTTCGTCGAAGATCCCCCTGCAGGGGGGCAGGCCCGACTTAAGGGTAGGAGGTCCGTCCACCTCCGAGTCTGTTCCCCGACCAGCCCTGGGTGGCGCCCCGTGACGGCGCCGTGGGCGTGCCGGACCCCCCCGCGAGGCCGCGGGGGCGGCCGCGAGGCACGGCCGACCCCCCGCCAGGCGGGAGAGGGAGGTGCCGCGGGCGGGGGGCGGGCGTCCTGCCGATGAGTTTGCTCAGCTGCGCCTGAGGCGACCGACGCCCCGCTGCCCTTCAGTCGGGCGTCCCCCCCGACATTGAGGGATGAAAAAACGGCCCTACCCTGGGTTACAAGTGCGTGGTCTGTAAACCTCCTGGGAACCCCCAAAGCCTAGAGACGCCAGGACGCGGCACATCACGCAGGGTTTACCCAGTAAGCTTACAGGAGTTTCAGCGCATAGCGCCTCGTAAACCAGGGTAGGGGCATTTTTTCTGCCCTTGACTGCAGGCGGGCCCTGAACGAAGAATCACAAAATGCTCCAAGAGCGCTCCAAAAAGAGTCCAAAACTGTCAAA